TTGGAAGATTTGGAGCCACACCTATAAAATAGATCCTGCGTTAATTTTCTAATAGTTCTACTATAGTTCTACTATATTCAGGATTCAGAAGGCTGAAAAATTATTCAGAAAAAAGAAAACTTCTTCAATCCTGAGGAAAATACACTCTGCATGACATCAATTTCAGCTCACGTGTGTAAGCCATCTGTGTGCGTCTATATGTGTAATTGTACACTGCTGACACAGATTATGAAGAACGATCATGAATCTTAGCAAGTGAAAAATAGCCAAAAAGTTTTTATCTCTTCAGAACCTAAAACATCTGCACAATTATCTTACACAATTATCTTTTTCACTACCAGATAAAGCACATCAAACAAGTACTGTATTCACCTCAAAGGAATGTATTTTTTTCCAAGTACAGTCTGAATTTTACTGAGAATGTAGTAATTGTGAAAAAGGAAGTCTTTTCATTCTAAAATTGCTTGTGGAGAGATTATTGCCTTCAGGACCATACTCCTTTGGAATAACTATCAGTAGTCAAACTTTTGACTTTGAGAATGATTACATAGACTATCTTTTTTCTTAAGGTCAAAAGGCATAAATATACCATTATATTCCAAACTGACTTTGACAGAACAGTTACTAAGGAAAATCTTGAGGAATTTTTGAAAATATGTAGACGATGCTAGTAGAAACAGAATAATGGGCAAGTTTATCATTAGAGTTCAGTTTATATTCCTATTTTAAATATCTTAAGTTCAATAGTATATTATTCTAATTTTTTCATTTCAATTAACAAGCACAGAGTAGATTATTTTTAAATATAGCTTTTACTTTATTTTACTTAGGCATTCAGTTATCGTATTAAAGCAAATTCTGAATTTCAGAATACCTGTTGGAAGACTGCTGTGACCAGCTTTGGTGACAGGAGACTCTTGAGCTGTATTTCCTCTATTGCCAACTGCATTTGACATCCAGTTATAAAAACTCACAGATGACGGTTCTGTTAATAATGGATGTTCTGATATAATTTCGGATTGCATGGTGTTTGCTAGATAGAAATAAAAACAATTATTAATTACTGTAAGTCCTTAAAAAGAAATGTTGATAATATATTTTTCAATCCAAATTGAAACTCATTTTAAGAGATTATGCAAAAAAATCTGTACTTTACATACATTTCTGTCATTGATGATGAAGTGTCAACCCAGCATTATATATTGGCCAATTTCTTGATAATAAAAAGAAAGCTAGAAGAACTTTCTTTTCCCTATTACAATTAGAAGGCACAATCAGAGGACTCCAATTAGATTCTATGCATCTCTGTAGAAATTAAGTCTCTACTGGAGTCCAAGGGAGTTGGATCACTAATACATTTTAGTAATAATAATAGAAGAAAAAAGTGCAGAAGATAACACAATACAAACACTGCAAATAGAAATAGAATGACAGTGGCAAAAGAGAGCAAAAGTAACAGTAATAGGCGACTTCTGTGTAATCCCAAAACGATTGGGGCACCACTTGAACACCATCAGCATTGTCAAATTCACAATTAATCAATTGTACAAGGCAGTTTTAACTCAGAACAGCTTACATGTTTGATGGTGTTATAAATACCATCAAACATCAACATCTGCCTATCCCAGGTCCTTGGGAAGGACTTGATAGGCAGGCAAAAATATCAAATCCAGACTGAACATCTGACTGACTGTGTGACGAACCATAAAACCCAAAGCAGAAATAATAATAATAACAACAACAACAACAATAATTCTAGGCAGATACCAGAAGGCACAATGAAAAAAAAGCCATATGGCCATATATATTTTTTAGTTACAGAGAAAATAGAACTTATACCAATAAAAGTTCTATAGAAACCTGTACAGTAAACCTTATTAGAATTACTTACACAGAGAATATATATAGAGACGCCGGCTGTGGTTGCCGGCGTCTCGGTATGGTCAGCTGACGCCATCGCTGACTATAGGGGGCGAATCTTTGGCCCCCTCAGAGAGGGCGCGCAACTTGGGAGTCCTCCTGGATTCACGGCTGACTTTGGATGACCATCTGTCGGCCGTGACCAGGGGGGCGTTTTATCAGGTTCGCCTGATTTACCAGTTGCGGCCTTTTCT